AGTAAAATCAATTACTACAACTATTCTATTATATTTTGCTATATGCCAATACTGCTTAAATAAATAGACTTTCACAAATAAAGTAGACTTTTCTTCAACACATCATAGCTATTAACACCAGTTATGCAATGAATTATTGGCAAAGTCGCATGACATGTAAAAGAGGGGGGGTAATATATGAGGTGGTCAAATATACGAAGTTATATATGCAATGAATTATTAGCAAAGTAGCCTAAATAAATAGACTTTCACAAATAAAGTAGACTTTTCTTCAACACATCATTGCTATTAACACCAGTTATGCAATGAATTATTAGCTAAGTAGCATGACATGTAAAAGAGGTGATGTAATATATGAGGTGATCGGTGATGTAATATATGAGGTGATCAAATATACGAAGTTATATATGCAATGAATTATTAGCAAAGTAGCCTGACATGTAAAAGAGTTGATGTAATATATGAGGTGGTCAAATATACGAGGTGAGGTAATATATGAGGTGATCTTAATTCTTAAGAGTACTCAAATTCAGCATTCTATATGGGCATGACACATGGTGAGAGTTACTAAAACACATGTGACAACCTGACTGGAGTTGAAGTGTATATGAAGCCATTGTTTTTTAAATGATGGAAACGATACCGTTTTGATACTAAAAATTAAAACTTTTGGGTGTACACATGAACACCCTTGAACAAGGGTGAGTCCGTCCCTGACGCTTAATCGGCTTGGTGGGCGCCTAGCGGAGACTAGTTGGAGACCTAAAAATTACAATTTTATCAAAGTTTTTCATATATATGATTAGTAATATTGCATTTGTGTGTATGAAAAATAGATACACACATACACATTAAACTTATTGTACATAATTGTGGCCATTATAATTTATAAAAGCCAAGCTCATTTGCTTCCAGGGTAATCACATATATGTGACTAAACTTTTTGTACATAAAGCTTTTATGTATTGAAAAATAATAGCTTTAATTAATAAATTTATTTCAATTTATAACTTATACGGAGTAAATCCACTAGCTCTATTCCAACGGAGTATTACTTTTTCTCTCTAGGATTTTACCGTTACAGTGTTATTTGTCCGCTATCGACCTTTGTCGAGGAGCAGTGCCGTTTCTGGCAATTCTGTTCGTGGTTAGGCGCTTCGGCCGGAATAGAGGATAGCGGAAGTCAGCAAGGTAGCCGCATCGTACGAATTGGTTGCGAGGAGGTCCGAGCAGAAGAAAGCGTAGTCTGGTTCTAGCCTGGGGTGTTTCGTTGGTGGGTTAGGAGACAGCAAGGGCTGTATGGAGTGGCTGGTTGACCAGTACAAGAAGATGAATATTGAAGAGGATGTCGAGGAGTTGGATCCGGTTGAGGTGACTCGGCCGAGGCAAGGAAAGGAAGATGCTTCAGTACAGTTGGACCATCCCCTGTAACACCCCCAAATTTCCCACCCAAAAATACATTTAAATGATGATTTATTCAAAGGAATTACCAACTTTATTTGAAAACATCAGAAATACAGCAGAAGTTTTAATAGGGAAATGGGTGTTACCGCCACATCCGGTCATCTCTTAACCGAATGCCGGCAATCACAAAACAAAACAAAGTAAAACAAGTGTTCAACATAATTGAATTGTTTATTCTTGACTAGGTTTGACTAAGGCATCACTAAACCGCTCTCAAGACCATGCAATCATCAGTCCACATAAGCATCATTACATGCACAAATAAAGTGCAGAAAACAAAACAAGGAAAAAGAAACAAAAATTAGCTTTAGAGCTAAGTGAATACTACTCAAGCCGTAAAATAATCAGGTTTGTCAAAATAGTTTTAATACATAACTATAACTTTCAAAATTCACTTTTATTCCCACAAAACTACTTTCATGTTTAAAATAATATTTATAAACTGTAAATAACTCACACCTTCATATAAAAATATCACTTTTCGAAAATAACTTTATAGTTACTCACTCTTTCTCAATATACTCAATTTCTCTTTGAAAATAATCTCCATAGTTCTTCTCTTCTTTTCAAATAGACTCAACTTCTCTTTGCAAATAATCTCCATAGTCCTTCTCTTTCCAAAATCGATATCTCTGTATCTCCTACTTTCTTTTAAGATGGGCGGTACTTTCGGATACTTATGTCCGAAGCCCAATAAGTCGTTATTTACGAACTCATCCCGGAATCCGGTTCCCACCACTATCTCTTGAATCAAAATGACTACTAAACTTGTTCTCTTCAAGTAATAGTAGCCCTAACCATCCTCCACATTTATCCGGATGTGAAAAACCGACACCACGGATTTCTCCCGGGGTGCTCCCCTCTTATGAAAATGTTAATTTTCATCTTGAATCAAGATATACTTCAAAATATTTTCCAAACTCTCTAAATAGTCTAAAAGGTATTTAAGAATATTTAATACCCCAAAAGTACATAGTTTGTATTTCTCAAATACTATAGATTTAATATCTCTTTAAATAAGACATATACATAATTCAAAAACTCAACACATAATCACATAGCACATAATAATCACATAGCGTAGAATATTTCTCAAGTCTCCAAATATTCTCGATGGTGTTTAAAAATATTTAATACCCCATATCTCAACTTTCTCAAATACTATAAATTTAATGTCACTTAAAATAATACATATTCAAAACTCACCCTTTAATCACATGATAGGATAACATATAATACGAGGAAACCATTTTGGATCGACAGAGAAACTTACCTTAAATCTGATGTTCCTAGTTCTTCTCCTCTATTCTTGTCTCAAAATAATCACCTCAAGTGAAGACGACGAGAGGATTAAAGACGGTTGTGGAGATGTTGGGCGACGGCGGTGCATCAACCATACCGGTGGCGCAGCTTCAGATCCTTCCTCGTTTCCCAATTAAAGTTTTAGTCTGGCAAATTCCGGCGAACGATTTCTCCCTCTTCTGGCGATCGTTTCTCCTCCCGTCACTCTTGTTCTCTTTCTCTCTTACTCACCGAAGGTTTAAGATGGTTTTTAGATCTGGGTTTTGTGTAAGTGGGTTTTCGTAGGTGTAATACATAACGTATGTATAAGTGTATATTTATGTATTGTATATATGTACATGCAACAGGGTACCTCGTTATTATCTTCGAACAGATCAAGTTTCCTATTGGCATGGTACTCCAGTTTCCATACGTTGATTATCCACTTGTTGGGTGTGTTTCGGAAAATAAAGAAAACTAATTAAAATAAATTAATTAAATAAAATGACTAGAGAATAACAAGAAAGGAGATGAAGCAGAATTAGTCAAAACTCGTGTTACGCACGATGTCCTTAAAACGTATTTGTTGCCTCCCACAGTGCTAGGAGCGTTGCAACAATCGTTTCCCAGGATACGATGACTACGAACTAGTGTTTGAGCACACAAACAAGAGTTCCAGCGAACGAGAACACAGTATGAACACTTAGGGAATTTTCTGATTGCTAGCAGTGTGTTTTAGAGGTGCAAAACGTGCATGGAGTGTATGAATTCGTGTGTTGTTGCAAACCACCTGCCAGCCATTATATAGGAGGATTTGTTGTGTGTAAATGGTGAATTAATGGACCTGAACGTTGGACATCAATGACCAGTCCGTTGGGCATTGAATCGTCCATGAACTGTCCATTTAACGTTGCATTAAAAGATAAGAACGGTGGACATTTATTGTTGTAACAGTTCAGATGCGCGACAGAAGACCTCCACCAGAACACCCCAGGAGGGGTTCTGTTCCGAGGCCAACAGAAGACCCCAAGAGGGGTTCTGTTCCGAGGCCAACAGAAGATCCCAAGAGGGGTTCTGTCATGAGGCCACCAGAATACCAACGAGGTGTTCTGTTCTGTAGGCTTCTGTTCAAGCACTTCTGCCGCTGGGAAAAAATTAAACGTTTCGGGAAGGAAATAAAAATTAATCGCATCTCTTGAGAGATAGATTTTTGGACGACATCGTGTCGTCCGCGACCGCAAGTCGCGGTTTTTCTTCTCCGATTTCGGGATTTGATTTGCACCCCCCTGCGCGCGTGGAGAGAGCCTTTACCCTAAGGAATCTTAACTCCTTAAGAGGGGAGTCCCTTTATAAAGGGTTGCAAATCCTTGGGTTTTCCGGTGTGGGAAATTAGCATACTAGAAACCCATCCTTTTTCCCAGTTTTCCCATTCTAACGGGTAAACTTCGAGAATCAATTTCTCATTCACCCGTTATCCGATTTGAGCGTACCATATATCGAATTGTAGCCCTTAACAAGAACAATCCGAAACCACTTTGACCCGACCCAAATCGGAAGTGGACCCCACTCAAAAAATTGCCCCAAAATTACCATTTAATGCAATTTTTCACACATTTTTCCAACACACTTATCCACAAGTGTGAAAGTAATCCACCCATTTTAGTAAGCAGACGTGGGTAAGCATACTTCGCATGTGGATGTACTTGTATTACGTAGAGAAATGGTGTAAATAGGACTAAAAAAACTTAATGTAACTAAATAGGAGTGACATATTTTTAATGAGTTTTTTTCCGTATTAATGTTAATTAATTAATTATTTACGGAAATAATGCTGGAAAAAAAGTATTTACCAAAATACTGCTGGCCCTAACCGTGGTCAGGGCAAAGTCGCCCAACGGTTGGGCGACTTATAAGTCGCCAAACGGTTTGGCGACTTATAAGTCGCCCAACCGTTGGGCGACTTTGCCCTGAAATATGTTAACAACCGAGCAGCTACTGCCAGCCAGGCACGATCGTGCCTAGAAAGGTAGGCACGATCGTGCCTATGTCCAAAAACAGCATTTCATCAGGTTTTTCGCCCCGGTTCAACCCAGACTCATCTGTTTGCTATAAATAAGGTCTCCCTTCTCCTGTTAAAGTATTACGAACTAGATACAACACATTATAATCACCTACTCTCAACAGCATAAAAAACACCTTATACACACCGCTAAAAAACTTTCAAATCATAACCGATATAACACAGTTCAATCATCATATATGCCATAACAAATAATCATATAATATTCATACTCGAACACATCAATACAACATAGAATACTTAACAAGAGAAAATACATCAAAACTTGTAAATTGTTCCTACAACATCTACTGCATAAGAAAAACTACAATACAAAAGACAAACTACAAGTTCCCATCATCAGCTTCGTCATGGAGATGTTGCTGCTCATGTCTACGCCTACGGCGTTGTCGTGGTTGAAGAACCACTCTCTCATGTTGCGTCTGGGATGATGAAGCCGCAGCTGCACTAGACGTGGATGCCATCTCCTGAGATGCGGGCATGTGTATAAGATGTCCGTAGTCTACTCGACCCAACACATCTGAGCATAACGAGGCAATGCCTGTCAGAGTCTGTCCATACATGTCCACATCAGGAATATCAGTCACAGTGGCAGTAGCCCGCTGATGTATGCGCTGCAAAGCTCGTGTCTGCAATACGAAACACAATTACAATTACATTGAAATACATACAAGTATTACATAAATAAAATGACTTACTTTACTAATTAGTAATATACTCACTGTAAGATGCAATGCCAATGAGCTAGGCTGATAATGATGAGTAGGGAGTCTGAACGAAGGAGACACAAACAACCGAGTGATGCTGTAGTACCATCCCATGTAATCTCCTGAAACTGATGGCACATATGTGGGTGTCCCAGCCACAGCTAGCTCAGCTCTCCTATCCCACATAGTCACGTATCGGACATGTCTGAGTGCCCAATCCTCTGTATGCTTCCCACGCCTATCCAGCCTATGCAGCTCTACATAAGTGTCGATAGGACGTGGAATGACCTGCTCAAACCCAAACTGTCGCATGACTCTATCAGGCAAATGAAGCTCAACAATGTCAAAACATATCAGCGGCACACGTGCTCGCCATATGTGAGTCTGCTCTCGGCCAGCTGGGGGTAACTCTGCTAACATATCAGGTCTATACGGCATCCATGTGATCTGTTTCGTAAACATACAAAATTAGTATTTATTCTACACCTATTCTAGTTACTGTTATACTACACACACCATACCTGGTCCTCTGACATCCGATCCAATGCATCCCTGTACACACCGAGGCCAGTAGCGGATGACATGCGAGATAAACCAGCATATAGCCACCTAACCATTAATGTTACAATATCAATAATATGGATTTTATTAATGCATTTACATTCAACAAAAAGTAACACAAATACAAATGATTTAAAACATACCGACGGCCTAGAGGGTCCACGCCCCGTACATGATGTGGTCCTAGCAGACGTGGAGGCTCATCAGGCAGTGGCTGTCCATCAATGCCATGATATCCAACTATAATGGGACGGCCAATGTGGATATACTCCCATGACCAAATCTGGAGGAGTAGCAAAAATCCACCCAGCTCTGTGCTCCCTCTCTGGCACCCGCGACACAGCTGCCTGTAGAGATAAGCCAGGGTGGCACTACCCCAGCTAAACTGTGCTGCTACATCAAACCTCTCAAGCAAAGGCAAGTGTAGCACCTGAACCTCATTTCCGCTCTTGTCAGCGAAAATGGAGGCTCCCATCATCATCAATATATACGCCCGAGCATGCTGCTGGATGATCATCTCATCAGCGTCGGGAGGAAGGGCCTGGAAGTGCTCCCTCAACCATGGCATCCTAAGAGATGACCCCTGAAGGTCAGCCCTAAGAACGGGGCGGATGCCTAACAACCTCTCACACTCATCCACCCACTGTCGACAAGCAGTGCCTGTAACAGCTCTCCCATCAACCTCTAACCCGGTAAGTACAGCCACATCTCCCAATGTCACAGTGACCTCACCAACAGGGAGGTGAAATGAATGTGTCTCCTGCCTCCAACGCTCAAGTAGAGCAGTGAGGAGGGCTCTATCTAAAGGCACAGTAGCCACTAACCTGTGCAGTGTAAAAAAACCTGCTGCACGAACATAGGCTAGGACTCTGGGGTCGACATGTAAATGGGACAAACCACGCAGATGCTCGCGGCACCTATCAACCTGCACATCCATGCCAAGCCAAACATCCTCACTCCTGTGTGAGGCCTGCAGTGTCAGGACAGAAGGATCACTCGGCCCAGGATCCGCTATCACCTCCATACCTACAAACAAAATTTGTATCAGTTCTAATTGTATTAGTTGTAATTGTATAATGTATTAAATTTTTTTTTACTTCCTTTTTTGAATTTATTAATTTTCCTTGCAAGGAAATAATGAATTATGATTGACTCTAAATATACACATACCCGGCGGACCCCCCCTCTTGTCTAGATGATCTCTTTGCACATGTCGCTCTATTATGGCCGGTTTGGTGGCATCTTCCACATCTTACCGTTCCTCGTGGACCTTCATCCATCTCATTCTTAATACGGGTCGACTTTGGTCTTCCCTTTGCCCGAAGCATGGATGGATCGTGCACGATTTCGGGTCCATTGTAATTGGGCCAATAATCACGATCAGGAATCGGTTTGAACACCCTATGATACGTGGCGGCGTATTGGTCAGAAGAGAAGAACTTATCCACAAATGGAGCATAAGACAAACTACGTTGTCTACACACGGCTAATACATGGGAGCAAGGAATCTTGTATATCTCCATCTTTTTGCAAGTGCACGTTTTCCGTTGTAGATGGACAGTTTGTTTTCTCCCACCCTTTCCCAACGTTCGGCCACCACAACCGGTCTCCACCTGAAATATACCTCGCCCTAAATCAAATGGAGTGACAATGTGATGTTTTGCCTTCTCTCTATTTTTTTCAATTAAATCTGTGATGTATGGGGAGTACTCGTGGCCTTGTGTGAGCCTCAACTTACTACTTTCACGCCTATTCACAAAGTACGCATTAACCCGGTAAAAAGATACCTGGACCAAGGCGGTAATGGGCAAATATCTAGCATTTTTCATGACGCTATTGAAAACCTCAGCCAGATTTGAAGTGATAGTACCGTATCTGTACCCGCCATCATGGTGCAGCGACCACATTTCTGGAGGAATGTTGGCCAAAAATTGTCGTGCATCCCTACTCATTTCACCTATCTTCTTGAACCCACCATCAAATTTTTTTTTCTGATGTTGTCGTGCGGTCCACACAAATAGATTTTTTAAATGAATGTCTTTGAAATGAGTGTGCACATTTGAAGCAAGATGACGGATGCATAGCCTATGATGCGCATAAGGCTCCTCCCAATTACTTCCCACCTCATTCATTGCCCTAACAATACCTCCATGTCTATCTGAAATGACACACAACTCCCTGTTAGTCACAAAATGCCTAATACATGCCATAAACCATGGCCAATTGTCTCCATTCTCCGATTCAACAACTGCAAAGGCGACTGGGAAAATTTGGTTGTTCGCATCACAACCCATGGCCACGAGCAATGTGCCCTTGTACTTTCCATACATGTGTGTGCCATCAATAGTAAGTACGGGTCGACAATGCTTAAAACCAGATATTGATGCCTTGAATGCCCAAAAAACTCTTTGAAACATCATATAACCTGTCGCACCATTGGGGGGTGGGTACCACTGAACAACAGTTCCTGGATTAGAATGTTGGAGCGCTGTCATGAAACGGGGCAACTCGAAATATGACTTTTCCCAACTGCCAAATATTTGTGCTATGGCCTTTTGCTTCCCCATCCATGTTCTCCGGTAAGATACAGTATACCCATATTTTTCCTTCAACATCTCGATGATAGTATGCACTTTAAGAGAAGGATCAGTGCGAATAATGTCAACCACATCTTTACAGATGAATTCTGATGTCAAGGCCACGTGATCTGTAGTGTCGATGTTGCCTACACAAGAAGCAGAATGAGGTCCAGAATAACGCACAATTGTGAAGGTGTCAAGGTTGCCTTTGTTCTTTGTGGCGCGTATTCTCCAGGGGCATTGACATTCTTTCTTCCTTTTGCATTGTGCCACCCATTTGTGTTTATCGGACTCTATCACCCGATAGAATTGGTTCCGTTTGATAGAATACAAGCTCACCATATTGATGACTTGTTCTTTGTTGTCAAACTGTTGACCGACCTCAAACTCACCATCGGGGGTAAACCTTTTCTCACCTGATCCACTCATCCACGCATCAGTAAAACCTTCAGGGAGATCATACATTCTAGTGAAGTGACTAGACGGGGCAGTTGGTGTCACAGTATCACCATCATCTTCATCAGATTCTGTCATGTCGTCACCATTGATGTTCTCGTCTGCATCATCATCACTTCCCTGCCCATCCACAAATGACGCACCGTTGTGCAAATACCTGCCATCCTCCTGTATAACCATGTCTAGTACAGGAACCTTTGACGACTTCCCTGCATTCACCCCTGCACTGACATCATGCCTAGATACACCAGCATTTGATGTCGATTGAGTAGCATTAGCGTCAAAGCATTCCTCAATGTATACCTCCAGCGACGACATATCCTCCATCTGAATTATGCCCCACATATTTGTTATAGCTAGCTCATCAATGAGCGGCATAAGCATGTACTTTCCCCCGTTCATGGGAAATTTCATTTTCAACCGCAATGAACGGCCGGGATGAATCATTGTCGCTGCATGTATTTTTTGAAGGATCTCGAGCATGCAAGCGCCACGAGAAACCATGACAAAGCTCGTTCTGCCACCTTCATGGCATATTTGCCCACCATTCTCATAATAGTTCCCTCCCCAATGACACACGAGTGGGAAGCTTGAGAAATCCATATTCTAATAACAACTCATTGTCCAACATTCATGAGTAGGCATCAATATACACACTTTATACACATTCACATTTTTAATAGAAATTGCTTCCAAAATTGTAATATATCATTAACTCCAAATTCACAAACAATTCACATTTCAATAACAAACTACCCAAATTTTGATATCTACATTCAATGTCTACCTTTGAATACCCAAATTTAGGTACATTCAACTCTACCCAAATGCCCAAATGTCAAAATACACACAACATTTTACAATTAATTTAAAATCAAATGTCAACATTTCATACATATCCACATTTCACAACAACTTCATTCACAATCAATTCATAATCCCAAAATTCAAAAATTTAACATTCTAAACCCTAGGTGCAAAATTAGATGAAATGGATTTGAATTTACCTAGAATAAGGAGTAAAGATTGTGTTGAAGATGAAGATGGAGGTTTTCCGGAGTGGGGAGGCTGGAGATGGAGCTTCGCCGGAGTTGGATAGGAGCTCGGTCGTCTTCTTCCTTCGTCTGCCGTAGGTGCTGCGCTAGAGGGAATTTGGGGCTGCAGTGCGAAGTGTTCTGTTTGGGGGAGGACCCCGTTTTTACTTAAAGGGAAAGTCGCCCAACGGTTGGGCGACTTATAAGTCGCCAAACCGTTTGGCGACTTATAAGTCGCCCAACCGTTGGGCGACTTACCCCTACCATGGTTAACCCAGCAGTATTTTGGTAAATACTTTTAACCCAACCCTATTTTCGTAATTAATTAATTAATTAACATTAATTAGGAAAAAAACTCATTTTTAATACGTAAATAGGACTTCATTTAATATGTGTAGACTCATTTACCCTTTTATCTCCTTCGGTTAACATGCAAAAGCCTATCTTTTCCTCATCTCATGAGAATCTTCATCTCTCCTCCACAACCTCGCCATACGCTCTCGCTGCTTCCTCCATAGCAAAGCAGGAGGGCTTCAAGACAGATAGACACGGCGACACTCCAACGGTGATGTGGAAGCGGTGGCTCGGCGGAGAAGGTGCGGGGGCACCACAGCTGCGGCGGCACAACAACTGCGGCGAGAGGGTGGGCTCGACGGAGAAGATGCGGCGGCACAAGAGCTACGGCGGCAGGGCGAGCTTACACAAGAGCTGCGGCGAGAGGCTCCATGTGTTCTATCCTCTTCTCCCCCCTTCTTCCTCCTCCTCGTTTTCTTCTTCTCTTGGGTAGATCTGGGAATACTACAGTGCCTTCTTATTTTTTTGTTTTCCTTTACAGGTGACGGCGTAGTGGTGCCTCTTCAATTTTTTGTTTTTCAACTTCTAACTTTTTTATATACTTCGTATTTATTTTGTTTATTTTTTATTAATAACAAGTTATGACACAAATCAGGGACATGCCTCACATTCTTAATGGTAAACACAGAGCCACAAGAAAATTTCAGACATATATCACCAACACCAAGCACATTGCATCTCTTATTATCAGCTATGGAAACGTAGCCACTATCACATAATTCATAAGTAGAAAACAAATCTCTAAAGGGGGACATGTGATAGGTACAACCAGAGTCAATCAACCATTCATGCTCAGACAGGGAATTTCTCACAGAATTAACATGGTCACAAACCATCAAAATATCACCAAGGTCACATTTATCAACAGCTACACTAGCATGCTCGGTCTTCTTAGGGTGGGGGCAATCCTTAATGAAATGGCCAGTGTTACCACAATTGTAACACACTCTCTTCCTAGATTTGCTCCTCTTCCTCCCAGACTGACTAGTGTTCTTACCCTGACTATTTTGCTTAGAGTTCTTAGACCTACCCTTAGATCTACCTCTAACAAACATAGCCTCACCGGAGTCCCTGGACTGACTAGCACTACCCCTAGCATGCTTCAGGTCTAATTCCTTACTCCTTAACCCATTCACAACAATGTCTAACGAAATCTCATCCCTACCATACTTAATAGCGGACTTAACATCATTATAAGAGTCAGGAATGGCATTAAGTAACACTATGGGAGTATAATCATCTATGTGTTTATCACCTGCCTGTTTGATACCGGAAAATACCGGAAAATACCGGAAAATACCGTAAAATTTGATGTTCCACTGCCTAAGATACCGCATTTACCATACTGAAAAATACCGGAAAATACCGGAAAATACCGTAATATTGGTATACCGTCATTTTCGGTACGCTATCATACCGTACCGATTTATTTCGGTACGGTAACGGTAAATGTTTTCAAATACCGCGGTATACCGGTATAATACCGTACCGACTCCCTACCTATCAATTACTTTAAATTGTAAAAGTTCATTACAATTTTGAAGCTCAAAGTTAATACTTAGGTTGGTTACAAATACTAAAATACAAAAAGAAGGCCCAATTTCCCAAACTCACTATAACCTTTTAGACTTCTACTACGTAACATTCAAACAAACTAACCCTAATGACTAATAAGTAATGCACTAATTTCCAGAAATCAGTCCATCTTGTTCCATCAGCTTGAAGAGGAATACACTTATGTGGCGAGTGTATCTACATAGGAATTTCGCGAGTCAAGACACACACATCAATTTTTTTGCCCCTTTAAATTATCATACTTGTTGTTCGTCTGGCAGGTTCATATGTATCTTATGGTTATACTCCCTCCGTCCCTTAATGGTTTGCCATGTTTGACCGGCACGTAGAATAATAAAGTAAAAACTGTGTGGTAGAGATTTGAGTAGGGGAGAGAGAAATAACATGAGCCACAAATTGATTGATTAAAATGGAAAGTGGCAAAGTTTTTGGGACAACCAAAAAAGGAAAGTTGGCAAAGTTATAAGGGACGGAGAGAGTATGTATTATTGTTACGTAGTACGTACACCTTTGTTTTGTTACCATATATTATTATCATGCATCTATGTTAGGTTTGAAAAGTCAACTTAGTGGTGTTTAGTGGATTCTCACACACATATTATTAACCAATATTTTTGAATTGAAGTTGTTAAAATGTCACAATACTATTTTTACTATATGTATAATTATCACTTGTTACAAAACGTCACTTTTAACACTTTAATTAATATTTATTTTTATTTGCTTTGTCAAATACTGTATATTTTATCTAGTGCCTTTTATTTTATTTTATTTTATCTTTTTATTTATTTATTTATTTATTTCATTTTTGTTTAAATTTTCGGGGTATTACACCCCCTGCCCCCCTGAACCGCCGCTGTGGAGTGCAAGAGAGTTTAGGGTTTGGAAGCAATATTTTTATTTTACTGTTTAATTTGTTTGCTTTTTTATTTTTCATGATCAGACTGTTTATTTTTCTGTTGGTCACTTTGATTGTTGTAAGACTCTTGCATTAGGATTGGGTGATAGGAGGTCTGCTTTAACCGTCGTTGGCTCATTTATGCTCATCATGGCATTATAGGATCAATGAGTTATATTGCTTTTTTGGAGGTGATTGACTCTAAGTCTGGTTCGAGAGCTAACGATTGTCTGTGGTCCTTTTGTCGTTTTACCCCATACCTGAATGCTGTGATAGTAATTTAAGCCATCTATTTTGACGATAAAAAAAACTTATACGGAGTAGTTCATACGGAGTATATATTTAGAAAATCCTTAGAAATATCACAGTCGGTGCCGACAGGTCCAAAATGCGGTCTGGACCAAAATAACATGTTCGGACCGGAATTTCGGACAGAACCTGTATACATAAATATATTTTTTTGTCTTTTGAATAACATGTTCAGAGAAGGTGTTTTGGTCTTTTGGAGTACTGCATCGACCACCGGGGTCGTAAACGGAGTACTATATATAGCTAGCCGCTATCCCCTATGCAATATTCTTATGCTTTTAAGTTTTAACTTTTCGTTCTTTGCTTAAAACATTAGTCCATTTTTCTGCTCATACTTGTGGAACTAGTAATTCACCCGTGCTATGCACGGGATGACGATGCACAATTTGGAATATTTTTTTTAATACTGGGTTAAGTATTACCCTTCCTTAAATGGTTTGTACATAAAGTTAAGTATAATGGTAATAGTGTATTCTCGTCATGCTTCTCGACTAAGAAATAATGCCTAAGGTAAGGATTAATAATAATGCATTTTAAATAAAACATCATGAATATGCATTATTAAATAGATATATAAGTGTGATCATGCACTTCGCACTCTCATAACCCACAAAAATACCTGGTGTGCAGTGACATGCACTTTGTCGTGTGTGCACTCAAAATAATTCGATACTAACAACTATATGTAGTATAGCGTAGTAGAGTTCGTATCCACAGGGAAAGGAATAACTCTCTTTTTATGTAACTAGTAAATAAAGGGGGGGGGGGGGTTTGATTGAGTGATTTAATTAAATTAAACACGAAGATGAACGAGTTATATGTGATTTAATTTAAGAATAAAAGGGACTTGGTCTTGCTACTTTCCACTTGTTGATATATTTCAGTCGATCATTGTTATATCTATAACTTATCCCCTCTCGAATACTCAATCGAGGAGTATCTCCAATTCATCGAGGGTAGTTATTAACAACGACCGTTCATTAATAACCCTTACTATTAATCAAATATGGAACAACACCGTATACCGATATAATAGTAGCATTTAATCTCTTTAACTCCTTGATGAAATCAATTGAGATTGATAACCTCAACACAATGGTTTCGGTTTAACCAACAAAATTAATCCCTCTTAAGTTTATTAACCACGACCGTGTATTAATAAACCGAAGTTACTTACTTGTGAAATCATCAACGATTAACCATCGGTTCGTTGATCATTTCTAGTAATAATTAATGTCGGAACGTTAACTAATCGTCACTTAGCAACCCTCCAACATTAATATAGAGATAGATTAAGGGAAGAAGTAATAATCAAGAGAAGAAGTTAAGAAAATAACTCACAACTTTAATAATCAACAAGCTTCAAGAGCAAAACCAAGAAATGGAAGTTTAGCTCCTCATTTGGAGACTAAACATGCTAGAAGAAATATAAAGAAATGCTATTCTAAACTGAGCTTAAGAGTTTAAAGGAAATGGTATCTAATTGTGAAGGGAAGGGGGTGTATTTATAGGCTTTTTGGGAGTGCAGTTCGGGTACTTGATCGAGTATATATAGATACCCGATCGGGTATGTGTAAAAAGTGTAGTTTCGAGGCATACTCGATCGAATTCGGAGAGAAAATAAAAGGCATACCCGATCGGGTGTGTCGGTGTACCCGATCGGGTATTACAAATGATCGTGGCCAAATCTTCCCTTGCACACCCTTTTGTATCCTGATTGATCTGATTGAAAGTCCAGTTGGTACCCGATCGAGTATATGGTATACTCGACCGGGTACAGGTCAAAAATCAGGATTTTGCCTCCTTTTTGTCTTGTACTCTTGCACCTTCCTTCACCAATGATCATTTGATTGATCTTGGACCTGTTAAAGCTCAGAATGATCCTAATCTAAATGAATTACAACTAAATTACAAACATAACTATTACACCAAAAGTGTGTAATTTCCGAAATATTAAACAACCAAAACTAACTAAAAACGTAAACATACATACGGAAATTACACGTGTATCATGCAGTAAACTGGGAACTCTTAGCTGTGGGATACGCATATATACATCCTCCGATAAATCACCATGAAGAAAGGCATTATTTACGTCAAGTTGGTGAACCACCCAGTTACGTTTGGCCGCAACAGTCAGCAGACAACGTACAGTGACCAGTTTGGCTACTGGTGCAAAAGTTTCATGAAAGTCAACTCCCTCAATTTGAGTGAAACCCTTGGCAACCAATCTAGCTTTGTAACGTTCCACATCACCGTTTGGTTTATATTTAATTTTATAAACCCATTTAGAACCAACAAGTTTCTTTCCAGGTGGTAATGGGACTAAAACCCAAGTATTATTTTCTTCCAATGCTTTAATCTCCTTTTGCATGGCATCTCTCCATAAAGGATCTTGTACTGCCTGTGAGAAATGTTTGGGCTCATCACGAGAAGTGATGGACGCTAAATATGCTTTATGAGTACACGAAAATTTTTCATAATTAATGAATTTTGAAATAGGATATACCGTTGAGTCAACTGAATGAGCGGTGCTCCGTGAATGGTCTAAGGACGGTGGCATGTCAGTTTCATAGTCCTGTAGGTGTTTAGGAGATTTACGTATCCTTTCTCCTCTTTTTACCTCTTTCAAATTTGTGATTAATTGAGGATGGTCAACGGTTGCATTTTCTGTGGTTTGTGACTCCTGAAAGGATCCTGCGGAAGCCTCCAAGTTTTGACGTGGCTGGGT